CCCGCCGCCCGGCTCAGCCCCCGCCGCCCCTCGCCGACCTCAGGGGCAGCTCGTGGTCTTGCGGGCTCGCGTGGCTGTGGCTGCGGGAGCCCTGCAGCCTTGGAGCGGAGGGGCCGGCGCGCCCAGGCTGGAGGTTACCGCGCTGAGGCTGCTGTGCCTGGTCCCCTGAGGTCGAGGGAACCGCAGCGGACCTCGAGGAAAGAGGGAAAGGAGTCTAGGGAGCCAGCGCAGAGTTGTCAACGTCAAAAGGGGTTTCCTAGGGTTTCCTGCCGCTGTCACCTGCTGTGCCGCGCTTTATCCTGAGATAAAGACGGTCTGGGGCGAGGCGGGAGAGGCCCCGCGGCTGGGAAGCCTGGGAGGGGACGGGCTCCTTGCTCACCCAGAAGCAGCTGCTTTTTGCCCACCAGTTTTTGTCGTATTTTAAAACCTAAACGACTTTTAAGGCCTATTTTGAGCCCACCAGTATTTACTCTGTGATTGGCTTTTTCTTTTTAAAGCATTGTGTGAGCACACCTAATTCACACAAGATTTTAGCACATGAATTAATTCCAAAGTTGCGGTGTGTGACATGCAGGGGTGCTGATGTGAGCACCAGGCCGGCCAGCCAGGCTAGGTGATGGCTGGGCAGGTCTTTTGGAGTGCACACGATCACAGGTTTTTGCCAGAGCCACCTGTGAGTTGCTGGCCCTAGGAACTAGCACTGAGCGAGCCCTGTGTTCTTGAGGCCCCTTGGTTGTGGTCCATTGCTCACGTGTGTTTTGAATTTTGCCTTGTATATGGGGACCAGAGAGTGATGCCGTGGGTACCATTTCCCTGGAAAATGCAGTGTCTCGGGAGGCACCCTCTGCTAGGTGCCATGAGCTCCAGCGCTGGGCTGCCGAGAGGGCATCTGCCTTGCCCCTCATGCTGAGGCTGGCACGGCTGCGTCTCCATGATGGTCGCCTGTCAGCCTCATTCTCAACTGATTCCAGTGCTTAGCCAGACGTGGTAAAAGTTTTAATTTTTTTTTTTTAATGTTTTTATTGATTTTATTTTATTACTATTTTTTAAAATGTATCTTTATTGATTTCAGAGAGAGGAAAGGAGAGGCAGAGAGAAACATCAATGATGAGAAAGTCATTGATCGAGCCCGCAACCTGGGCATGTGCCCTGACCGGGAACCGAATCCCGATCTCCTGGATCCTAGGTTGATGCTCAACCTCTGAGCCACACTGGCTGGGCAAAAGTTTTAGCTCTTAAGTGTCTTCTTTTTTGGCTCATAAGTGGTATTTATGCTTATGTTTGCTATTTAGTTTTTTTACTGTTTTCAGTATTACAGATATTTCCCACTTCCCCGCTTTTTGCCCCCCTCCACCCTATATTTGCTCTTCAGTTTTGAGAATTGCTTCTGGAGCCAGACAGAATCCATGAGCCAAGAGGAACCAGAGGTGCAGGTGCTAACGGCAGAGGAAATATGTTTGTTTATGTGCAGTTTCTACACTTACTTCCTTGCTGTGTATGAGCAGACTTTTATAAAGAACTCTTTTCCTATAAAAAACTCTTTTCCCTTAAAGGACTTTAACATTGTGGGAAGGAGTCCACAGTGTGTACAAACACTGAACTTTTAATTATAAACCTTGTAAATTCAGATCGGGCTTAACAGGCCAGTTAATTGTATGATGAGTGAGCTTTAAAAAGAGCCCATGGATTTGACTCCAGTCCTGCAAGGAAGACGTCACCATGGTGTGACTCTCACCTGCCTCTTTCCTTTTTTCCTCTTTGGTCTCTGTCTGTTTTTTTGAAATTTAAGTGACGAGGGTTTTTTTGTTTTTTTAAAAAGGTAACGTTTTCAATATTTATAATGGGTTGAAGTTAATTAGAAATAGTTTATAACAGGGCATGCCTCTTGAAATTAAAACTCCTTTTTGAAAGACCTTTCAGTTTATTATGCAATGTTTCAAACACAAAATGGAGACAATCCATCTGAACTTTTGAGAATGAGAGGCAGCAAAGAGTATTTTCTTACGTGTTCTATTTGGCACGTAGAAATTCTTTTTTTTTTTTAAATTCTCTCCTGAGGATATGTTTTTCATCAATTCTAGAGAGAGCAAGGGGGAGAGAGAAACATCCATCAGTCGCCGCCCATATGTGTCCTACCCGGGAATCAAAGGCACCACCTTTATGGGATGACACCCAACCAACTGGGCCACACCTGCCAGGGCTGGCATTTTGAAATTCTTACAAGCATGGTACAGATGTCAGAGTGACAGTGGGATTCCAGAACCCACAGATGCATATCACAGAACACTGTTCCCCAGCTGGGGTGTGAGGTGACCTGCGTGCTCTCACTGGCCGATGGCCTGGTGCAGCCTCAGGAGTGTTGATGGCGGCTATGAAGGTATCTGTTCTCGTTCCTAACCCAGCACCTCGTCATTTCCCAGCTTCCTGGACAAGCTAACTAATTTGTACAGAATTTACACAAAAAGATAGGTTTTGCTTTATTTCATCTGATACCCTATTTCATCTGACCTCCAAATGCCCATCTCCAGTGGCTGATCAGGCATTTCTATTGGTGCTGGAGCCTTATGGTCAGGACTTCAGGCCTGGGACAGGCCTCAGGAGGGGTTGCGGGGAGGAGATAGCACTGAGGCCCCGGACAAAACCAGTCAGCGTCCAGACTGCTTCCCAGGCCTGTGTTGGTTCCTCTCGTGTTTCTTTTTCATAGCCCTTTACACCTGTCTTTCCTTCCCTCTCTCGTTCTAGCCTGTCATTTTATGGAAATGAAGCAATTCTAAGACTTGAGATTTGGGTTCTGTGATCTTAATTTTAAAAGCAGATACACGAACATAATTCATTTTGAATTTTTGCGTGTAGTTATGGAAATATAGTTAATCTATATTGCTTACTATGTTCCAAGTACTGTCCTGGTGTTTACAGCTGTGATATCTATAAAAGCCTGGGGTCGCCCAGCAGCCCTGTGAGATATTTACCCAGTCGGAGACCCACCAGTCGGCAGCTGCATCATTTACGTGCATACTCTTCTGCGCTTGTGTGTTCTCTAGTCTCCTTGTTTCAGTGTCCGTCTCAGCCCCATGTTGTCTTCAGACAGACTATTGAGTAACAAGTTGTTTTGTCTTAGACTGACTGGGAAGAAATTCCTGCTGGCCAGTTTGCAGTGGCGGTGGGTTGGGGAAGGCTTACCATGGGGAGCCTGGCCCACTCTGGGTTTTTCTGATTCCTGGTGAAAGGCCTTCCTCTTTGTTTTTGTTCTGCATCATTAAAAGTGTTTTTAAAAGTTCATTTGAAATCATCCATGATTGCCAGGAATCTGTTGACATGTCTTGACTGTGGACAGACATGAAGACTTAAATCTTCCCAGTTCTTTCATGTGTAAGTTTGGAAGCAGGCCAGGGGTATGACTTCCTTTCTTCACAGTGCAAGCATTCAGATTATTGCCTCTGCTGCTGGAAGGGTGGTCAGTGTGCTAAGCTAATGGATGAACTGTCGTTCTGTCAGTAAGTCATTGGACAAATCTCTCGCTCGGACAGAATTACTGGGAGATGTGCTCAAAGACCGGCCCCAGGAAGCGGATGGGATCGACTCGGTGATTGTGGTCGACAATGTTCCTCAGGTGGGACCTGACCGGCTGGAGAAGCTCAAGAACGTCATCCACAAGATCTTCTCCAAGTTTGGGAAAATCACAAATGACTTTTACCCGGAGGAGGATGGGAAGACGAAAGGGTGAGTGGTTCTCGTGGTGGCGCCTGTGTCTCTTGGTGTCCCCGTGGCACAGGCGTTCTCTCCCTGGCCTCTGCCGCCCCTGGGTGGGTGCTCTCCACCAGCCTGGGAAGCTCTGTGGAGCGGTCAGGTGGTCCTGGGCCGCACACAGGAGAGCGGGAGATGCGCTTCTTGATTAGGGTGCTGTAAGTTGGCTGCTAAGTGCTCCAGGAGTCAGCTTGGTGGTTAAACCTGCTGTCAGAGCAGTGCACACACAGTGCTTTCTGGGAAAGGGACCCACAGATATGGAAGGTGGCGGAATTTCAGGAAAACTGCGTGTGGTATTTCATTGATTCTAAGATATGCTTTTCTTTGCATTTTAATACCTATGAAATGCAGATATTTTTTACAGTCTAGGTGAAAGCGTTGTCATTGCTTAATCAGCAGTTTTTCCCCCGAGTGTTACCTAAAATTGTGCCTCTTTTAAAAATGGTAGCATGAGGTATAGGCAGCCTTGCAGTTTGCTTTTGAAATTCCATCTCTGGTATTGTGTTGAGAAATGTAATTCTGGTTCCTTTATTTTAAATTCTGTGATGTATGACTGTTCGTCTGTTTCCCGACACAGTGTTGCAGTTACAAACAGGTTTCTTTTTGAGCAAGTGTAGTTGTTCCCTTGCTCCAGACCTAGGGGTGGAATTTGGGGGTTGTTGCTGGGCAGTGTCAGCTCATGCCCAGGTGGTCATCAGCTTGCACTGCAGCTGCAGGAGTGAGCGTCTGTGCTGCCCCACAGGCCCTGAGACCTTCTCCACTCACATTCCACGTGAATGTCAGCCTGTGAGAGGACAGCACTGGGAAGGTGGTCACGTTCATTAATTCAGATTTTGGAAACCGCCTAGGTAGTTTTATTTCTATAAAAGTGATCAAACATAGGTAATGCTCCTAATGTTTTCTATTTGGAACTAGGAAGAAGGATACCTATTATTATGTTTTTGTTAAAATGAAACACCCTTGAGAACCTTTGTAACTTTGCCTGTAATACAACATAATGCATAATATTTATGACTTTAAGTTTTATAACAGCTTTGTGAAGTAATTGACATACAGTAAAGTTTTAAAGTGGACGGTTTCATGAGTTTTGTTGTGGACACACCCATGAAACCATTACCACGGTCAAGGTGATGGACGTTTTGATTAATGAGCTTTTCTGTGATTGTGGACTTGGAGCCTTGGAGCTTCTGTGAGGATTTTGTTCATGCTCCGGGATCTACTCTGCCCGCGATTTGACTTCCTTGGACATGGCAAGGGCATGGGTCCCATGTTTATGGTTGAGGAAGGTCTCGTGTGTATTGAGCACGACCACCCTAACCTAACATCCACAGTGTGTACATCGCCCTCTTTCTCGCTCCAGGTACATTTTCCTGGAGTACGCATCTCCTGCCCATGCCTTGGATGCTGTGAAAAGTGCCGATGGCTACAAGCTCGACAAGCAGCACACTTTCCGAGTCAACCTCTTCACCGATTTTGACAAGTGAGTCCCGACTTGGGCCGTGCGAGTCTGGACATTCACCCTGCTGAATGGCCTGGGTCC